GGGGGGGGGGGGGGTTCTAACTGTAGAGAACGGATGTTTGAAGAAATGTTTCTAGTTACTCAAGTTTCAATTTTATTGTGACCGTTCGTGAATTTTTATAGCATTGTATATTTTAAGTGAACGCATTTCCAACCTCACTGCGAGACTGTTTTTATAATAGAAGTTTTTACACATATACATAGATATTATATAATATGCATAATATTTTTTTTTGCGTACACGCATGTCGATTAAATTTTTTACTTGTGATGTCTTTTTCGATATAATGCGCATTCAGCATTTTTTTTAAAAATGGAAATGCGCAGTATAAATGCTATTCATTTTTATTATTATAGCAATGTGTTCATGATTCCTCGATCGTCTTGAAAAGCGTGAACATTTCCTCCACGACATTTGGTTCCTTGGCAAAGCCCATATTTACCGTTCGTGTTATATCAACTCCACTAAATGCTGTCTATTTGGACAACTTCACCCCCCCCCTATTGTCTCTAGAAACAGCTTCATACTTTAAGATGGACAGTGTGTGTGGCTTTGTGCACTCACGGCTGAGTGGATCCTGGTGTTTGGCCACCACTGAACGACGCCTTAAAATATTTCGAGTCCAAAGTAGGACATATTGACCATTGGGTTATCGGAATTCCAGTTTTTAAAAATTTAGTTCTGTAGGAGAAGAGGAATATTGTTTAAAAGTTACAGGGATGGAAAGATACGATTTTCAAAAAATAAAAGGGAAGATAAAAAAAACCAACCAACCAGTTTCATGAATTTCCTTACAAGATCTTTTGAATTGGTGCATTTTGCATTTACAGGTGGTTTTTATAAAAACCAATCTGTTTTCGAAAATGAGTTTCTTCTTTGTGAATTTTATGTCAAACAATTCCTTTTGAATATAATATTGTGTAATATGCTCCAAATTGCAACATTCTAGTGCAAATTTTGTGCGAGATATTTACCCCAAAAAAAGTTGTACAGGTTTTTTGGGGATCACCTTGTAAATCTTATTATATGTATCGGAGATTACACATGTATGTGTATACTAGACAGTACCTCACAAATAAAAGAAAAAGGAGTGCTAAGAACGATACATTATGTTTGATAGGAAAAAGGACCAAATCACACCGGAGCACCCGTCAACCACCCACAATTCTTAGGAGCAGAAATGAATGAATGAACTTGGCTCTCCATTCGGAACTCAATGACCTTCTACACGCGTCCCTCTCTCTCTCTTTCTCTCTCTCTCTCTCTCTCTCTCTCTCTCTCTC